GACTTTCCATTTTTAACATATTTTTGTTGTTACGTTACTGAATACATTGACAGCTGATTAGTTTCAATATTTTTCCATGCAAGACCTGTATTTATATTAAAAAGTTCTTAAGATATATTTATACTTACACAATATTATCATGTATCTTTTTAGTTCCGACCGATTGATCAATGATCAAATAAGCATAGCAATGGAAACACGAGATCACCTCATGACTCAAAGACAAGCGTTCAAACGTATACGAACTCGATTCAACGATATCTCGAATCGATTTCCAGCGGTGAATAGTCTAATGCAGAGGATAAATCTACGTAAAAGAAGAGATTCCGTTATACTCGGCCTCGTTATTGGAGTTTGTACGTTTTTAATGCTTCTGTATGCCTTTCATTAGACGATACAAAGATACTTCCATCTCCAAATAACGATTATTTCACCATGGAAATTTTGCAATACGCTTCATAGTAAAGATATACATACATTTAAAAGGTACTATGGAGATCTAATAAATATAATATAAAATAATATGTAGGAAATTTAGTATGATAGAATATGCGAGATTGTATGTGCGCGTGAATGATTGAGCAAGTGTTCCTTCCACTTGCGTTTAAAGTGCACGAAAAAAAGTTTATCTGTATAGTTTTTTTTATACTGAAGTACAAGACGTGGGAATATATAATGTGAATAATGAATATATAAGTGAAACTTTCATCCACTTTCGACACGTTAACTTAATAAATGTTAAAATATGATAGTCTTTGTTTGTAATAGCGCTAATTGTAAGGATTTATTGATTTCCCGAATTCTGGAAACAGAATAAGATGACATCATGATTTATTTATGTACGTATTTCCTTTTTGTAGCGGTTAATTTTTTTTCTATAAGATGGGCAAGGGATTTGCACATTTTGCGGTAAAATCATTATATTTCGTACCTGTATAAACCAATAGTTTTCTGCGTCATTAACACACTTGGTGATAACAATAAAAAGGAAAGGATATATGCTAATTTAGCAGTTTTTCGTTATAAAAAAAAAGTAGCGTTGATCAATCACTTCGAAAACGCAGAATAAGGGATCTTTAAAAAAAGCTTTCGGAGCGAAAATGGTGAGTATCGTCGTCGTTTTAGGTAAGAATTGATTTTACATACACAGACATTTATATGCATATATACACGCAGTGCATTCTTGAGTCATCCGCAAAAACACAACACGGAAAAAAGTTTTCACTAGAAAGCATGATGCCTGTTTCCACGTGTACTAGATACTACATTTATAAGTCTCCTCTAGAAAATAGGAACTCAAGCGAGATATAATTGTAAAAAAAAATACCAAACACAAAACACGTTCCATATACACTAAAGTTTCGCCTCTCTTTTACAGCCTCAATATATATTTACATATATAACTTCATCAGAACTTCCTATAAATTACTTTATGACTTTCCATATAAAATCCTGCTCCTGAATTTTTAATTGCTATCGTAGATTATAAAACCGAGCTCTGAATTGAACACGGTTAATACCTTCGAATCGCATCTACTGCTTATTATTTAAAATAATGCAGTAATAATATATCATGCCTTACAAATAATCAATAGCTAAAGGAATTAAATCTACGATAAGTCTCGCTCTAACAATAAATATCGCACTTCCCTTTGTTCTTTCTCCATTCGTTACAAAAAGGGATTATTGATAGTTGTATAGATATTTTACAATCGGATGTTATTCTCCCCTCTGTCAATCTCTCCTTTATAAATGTAATATATAGTCGCTACCTGTGGAAAACCACGCGGTTGTTTTCACTATGTAACTACCGCAAGACGATTTACGATGGAGATAACTGTGGAAACAGATGGATGGCGGATCTCTTTTTTTCTCTCATACATAAATGCATCATTCGCACGTTCTTAAGAGTTAAATCACTAAAATGAGGGATTCTAATCACGGATTGATTCTATTCAACTGTTCGGATAGTACTCTACGCTCTAAATCTGTATCTTTGAAGTTTTATTATACCATTAGAGATGATAAATCACACGAGGCCCATATCATCGTCATTCGTTCTTCGAATCTCATTCAGACGTACAAATAGACACAAACAATCTACATCCAATATACATGCAGGCCGCACTGGTTGCTAGTTTATGTATCTGAATATAAATATATCGGCTGTATGTACTATTTTTTTCAATCTAATTCTTTTTTCTTTTTTTATGTTTTAAGGCTAATTAGTATAGGTGGAGATCGTCGAGAGACGAGGCGTTGTGTTTTAAATAATTCCGATAAATATCTCATTGAGGTATATAGGAAGCCACCAGACATCTCTACGATTCTGTTTCAATTTTATAAAATCACATAAGAAAATATAGTAAATAAAGAAAAATGTATGACTCAATTGTCCGAGAGAAATAAAAAAATTTCAATTTTATGTAAAATTATATAATGGGAATATATTACGAATATAGAATACTTTCTTATTTTAGTGTCAAAAATAATACTTGCCTCTATCAAGAATGTGACTTTTCTTACAGTATATTCAATGATATGTAGAATAAGGATGTGCGATCTCGATTCGATCTTCTAAAAGATCGATTTTTTAATCGATTCGCCAGATTCCATTTTAAGGTAGATCGATTCATTTAATGAGAGATCTTCGAAGCGTAAGGCTGAATTTGGAAATTATATATTCTGATATATCATTTCATTCCTGTTATTCATCGAATGTTAAACAAGAATAAAATGATACTACTAATACCGTCAGATTTGATTTTGACAAGTATAGACATTTAAAAAGTCGTATATTTTTACATAATAATTATTATTGTATAATATTTTTATTGCACTATTCAACAATACGTTTTATAATATATACAATAAAAAAGATTTAATATTTTCATTTAGATCTCTATCAATTTATTGAAAATTAATTTTATATATGTCGTGTTCTAAAGAATCCAAAGTTTTAATATTACTGTGCCTACACTGTTTACATTTACACGTTAACATTAATCGGGTTTAACAATATCTGCAGTTACAACTAGTAATTATTACTGAAATTACAAATGTATAAAATAAATGTATAAATAAATGCTATTTAAATTCTAATTTATAACACCAATTGACAGTTGTTAAAATCGAATTTAACACATTTACTTACAATATTTCACCAATTTTGTCAGTTGATTTATGTCAGAAGTACAAATGTTAGTTTAAATTTAGATTTTTAAATTAAAATTATTTAAATTAAAAATTATTTTATTTGTAGGCAAATCATGTTCAATTGTTGTTGAATTTATATGATCTCAGTGAAAAATAACAATGGAATCAATATCGATTTGACGCTGAAATCATCAAATTGACGTCGATTTAATATCTATTCCATCATATCTCACTGGGATGTTATTAAAAAAATTTTAATTGAATCTTCAATAGATCGATTCATTCAGATGCGATTTTTTTAGTAAATCGATTTCAATCCGATTCAAGATTGATTCAGAGATCGATTCAATTAATGGAGATCGCACATCTCTAATGTAGAACAAAATAAGACACATAATTAAATCAGACACAATAGAAATCCATTTTTTAACTGATTCGTATTGTCATAATAAAAAAAGAAAAAAAAAGAAAATAAACGTATAACTTGGCACTTGTATACTATTATAATAAGGAAATTCATGGGAGTATCTTCGTCTGATTTTGACGAGTTTTGAATATGTTGTTCTCTAGATAAAAAAATAAGAGATTTTTTTTTTTATAAAAGTCTAATTGCACTTTTAGAAAGTACAACATCCCTTTGAAGAAAATCTATTTTTCAAAGTGTCAAAAGTATAAGAGATGTTTCTAAATTATTTTTTATAAATAAAATTTATTCGAACAAATTTTTAAAATTATTATAAAGTATTATAAAGTATTATAAAGTAGTTTTTCAAACTATTCAATTTTTATTACAGTATCAACTGTATAGATAAATATTCGCTTCCAAAGAATCGCTTTTCTTCAAAAAAGTGTTGCATTTTAAAAGTGCTATTGTAAAAAAAAATACGTGATTGTTTGTTTTTGTCTAGAAAACAACATATTCATTATTCAATAATCATCAAAATCGAAGGACATTTGCATGAATTTACTTTTAAGTCTCTTAATGGTAAAATCGGAAAAACACATTTGCAATAGCCATGTGATTACCTCGTCTCTTCAAATCTGGATAATATTAATGATAGTTTTGTAACGATAGAACACTAGTACTAATATAGCAGTAGCAGTAATTTATAGTAATAATGATAGCCTATAGTAATAACGGTAGCAATAGCTTGTGTATGTGTGTAACACATCTAATTTATGTTTGATTTAACGATCAAACAAAAACCAAAACTGTCGCGTACTTTTATACTTTTCGAAGAGAACCGATTGCTCCGATCGTCTTGCTATTCTCGATTAATCCGCATTCCATCAATAATTCACGTTTAATTAAATTTACTGACACTATTATGACGATAACAATCGATGCTCTTCGTTAGTGTTAATGGCTAGCTTAAAACAATAAGTTAATGGCTAGCTTAAAACAATAAATTCCTAAATTATATAAACTATTAATCGTCATACTTCACATGTCTTACAGGAAAATACGTGCTCTGTCACTCCTTTAAATGGTTGTGCTCTCTTGCAGAATAGAGTTTGTATTCATTCTACTATGCCACACGTTTGCTAGAACTTCATGGATGAAAATATGATTAACGGCGACGATAAAAAATAAACTTCTCCTCTTCTAATTATCTTTCTTCCTCTTCTAATTATAATCAGTGTGAC